GGGCTCCCTGCTCAGCAGGGGAGTCTGCTTCTCCCTCTCTCTCTGCCTGCCACTCCCCCTGCTTGTGCTGTCTCTCTCTCTGTCATATAAAGAAATAAAATCTTTATAAATAAGTAAGTAAATAAATACCGTCTCATATTTCAAAAAAGGTGATGTGGAAAGAAAAAAAAGTCCTTGAAGATTTTATATATAAGGATATTTTAGGTTAATAACTAACTCAAATTCTGGGACTTGGCTTAAAAATGGAAAACAGTATCATTTCTGCTTAACTTAAGAAATACATATCCACTGTAGATAATCTGCAAAATACAGAAGGAAAAGAAAAGAAAAATGTCACCAGTTATTCTACCATCCTGAACAAATCATTAGTAGCATTTTAGTATATTACTTTCCAATCTTTTCTTTTGTTAAAATCGCTCAGCACATTGTGAAAATTTTCAAGATTGTAAGCGAGGTTCTAAGGTTTTTATATACCTACCACCTACCTTATCATTAACTTTTTACTATACCTTGGTTTGTTACTCATTCAACCTTCCAAACTTTTGCAATAGAGCTCAAATCACACTACATATAAAATTTTATATTCTTATTAGAATATGTCCATATAAGTACGCTCAAACTACATTAGTTAAATTAAACTAAAAACAGTCAACAAATTTATATGGGAAGTAAGGACATTCAACAAGTTGAAGAATGCAGATTCTTGTTTTTTAAAATAAAATTCAAGCTTGAGTACAGAGCTGAAGCAAATTCAAGATGCTGGGTGAGTTTTTTAGCATTCACTAGACCTCTTTTTCAACACTTCAGTTTAAACTGGAAAAGAGGATCTTCAAAAATAAAAACAACATTTGACCACACATACAGGTAGACTTTTAAGAGTTGAAGACAGGGTTTTACTTACTTTGTGATGACTGCCAAAATGATTCTGGATATTGAGTTGATGATCTGGGGGTTTGATCTAAAAACAAAACAAAAATAAATATAGTACACTGTAAAGTATTTTGTACTTTTTAAATGCATATTTTATAAGAGAACAATGAGTAATCAAAGGAGCAAAGATATTCAGTAATACCCCAGGGAATTCAACACTTGGGCTCACAATTTATTTTTAAAAAGTTTCTAAAGAGTCATGTTGTATTTAAAAAATTAACTAATTAACTCTTTCCCTAACCATTTCCTAAAGAAAAAAATGTAAGATATAGAACATGGCATGAGGTAAGGGAGATAATAAAAAGCTTTGAATTGGGGAATATTTTGAAAGTTTATAATGGATCTTCTTGAAATCATAAACACCCATTTTGCCTCAAATTTTTCTTGTAAGTGGCCAATACATTACATATTTTAGTCTACTCTTCTTTAAAATCTTGTTTTCATATAAAAATGGAAATCATAACTAAATCTGTTCAAAAGCGATCAGATGCAGGAGCATTTGACATATTCAGGGTGGTAGCTAAATATTTTTGTTACTGTATTCCTATTACTAAAAAAATTGAAGCATCAATCTCCGAAACATATACATGTATTACTGAAATAATATATTAACTAACGTGTTGCATTTATTATAATAAGACATTTTAAATGGATGAAATAAAATATAAATATCCATGAAATTCTAGTATTTTCTTCCTGCACTCCAATGGATCTTTGTTTTGTTTTTATTTAAATTCTAGTTAGTTAACATATGGTATAATATTAGTTTCAGATGTACAATTATTTAACACTTCCACACAATCCCTGGTGCTCATCACAGCAAGTGCACTTCTTAATCCCCATCACCTGTTTCACCCATCCCCCCCCACCTCCCCTCTGGTCAGTTTGTTCTCTACAGTTAAGAGTCTGTTTCTTGGTTTGCCTCTCTCTCTCTCTTTTTATCCCCCTTTCTCATTTGTTTATTCTTGTACCTCTTCGGTGATAATTAACCCAGAAAATAATCTAGGAAGATCTGTATTTTGTTCTTTAGCTAGAGTTTTCTTCTGCATGTGGGTAGGTGCTTCATTAAGAATTTATTAGAATTCTAAAGGGATCACAGAGCCTGCGGTTTATGTAGTTTTGAAGAGCTATATGCTAGTGGCAATGGCATCAAATTACTGGCTATATGAATGGCTTAATCAGTCTCTTAATTTTTAGAGCTTTGTGTATACATATACCAAAACTAATAAGAACACTTAATTTAAGTGTTTACTACGTGACAGGTACTTTCTAGGTGCTTGCACATGTGAATTAATTTAACCTCTTAACAACCCAGATGAGGAAACTGAGGAACACAGAAGTTAAACAATGGCCTGAGGGCACCAACCTAGTAGTGGAGGAGTGGGACCCAGGGATTCTGGCTCCAGAGCCCATGTTCTTAACCACTATGCTAGAATGGTGCATATCTCCTCTGGGATTTCTGTATCAAGAAAGAATGGGGGAAAATGAGGAAGGGTGGGAAATATAGAGAATACCAAATGCCCATAAACCAGCTTATGAGCTTATTTTGAAAATGAAATGATGAAGTAAAACTGGAATTACGGAAATTCTCAAAAGGTGGTGAGGGGAAAGTGGAGAATTACTCTTTCACAGGACTAAAATATAAATTATTCATTATTTACAGAGTTTACAAATTGGTTCAGGACTCTCTTAAGCCTCAATTGGTATTTTTTTTCTCTTCAATTCTTTCCTTTAATAAAACACAAATTCATGTGAACAATCATAAACTGTTATTATTGACCTGGTGCGAATTTGAACAATCCAGAGATAAAAGCAATTACCTAGGTATATTAAAACTTCATGTATCATATGATCTCACTGATATGAGGAATTCTTTTTTTTTTTTTAAAAGATTTTATTTATTTATTTGACAGAGACAGCGAGAGCAGGAACACACGCAGGAGGAGTGGGAGAGGGAGAAGCAGGCTTCCCGCCGAGCAGGGAGCCTGATGTGGGACTCGATCCCAGGACTCTGGGATCATGACCTGAGCCGAAGGCAGCCGCTTAACGACTGAGCCACCCAGGCACCCAGATATGAGGAATTCTTAATCTCAGGAAACAAACTGAGGGTTGCTGGAGCGGTGGGGGGCGGTGGGAGGGATGGTGTGGCTGGGTGATAGACATTGGGGAGGGTATGTGCTATGGTGAGCACTGTGAATTGTGTAAGACTGTTGAATCACAGACTCGTACCTCTGAAACAAATAATACATTATATGTTAAAAAAAGATAGTAGGAAGGGAAAAATGAAGCGGGGGAATCAGAGGGGGAGACGAACCATGAGAGACTATGGACTCTGAGAAACGAACTGAGGATTCTAGAGGGGCGGAGGGTGGGTGGATGGGTTAGCCTGGTGATGGGCATTAAAGAGGGCACATATTGAATGGAGCGCTGGGTGTTACACTCAAACAATGAATCATGGAACACTACATCAAAAACTAATGATGTAATGTATGGTGATTAACATAATAAAATAAAATTAAAAAAAAAAAACAACTTCCTAAAAGCTAACTAACATTCCTGATAGTGTAATGAGTACCACTGCCAATGAGATCAGTTTCTCTATAACATTTTTAAAATTTTTTAACGATTTTATTTGAGAGGGAGAGAGGAAGCGCATGCATACACACATACATACACACACACACACACACACACACGCATAAGTACACAAGAGGAGGGAGGGGCAGAGGGAGAGGGACAATGGACTCCCTGCTAAGAGGGGAACCCAACATGGGGCTCAATTAAAGGACCCTGGGATCATGACCAGGGCCTAAGTTAGATGCTTAACTGACTGAGCCACCCAGGCGTCCCTCTCTACAATGTTTTTTTAAAAAACTACATCTTTTGAGCACAAAATATCTTATATTTCATCAATATCAAAGTAGGCTAAAAAGTGACTTATTTGTTTAGATGTTACAAGGCACTACATTACTAATTAGATGCACACATGAAATCAGTAATTTTAATAAATATTAAAAAGTACACAACTTTTTAAATAGTTTTTATAAAATACTTTGAAGTATTTTTTTAAAAAGCAGATTCACAAATACCTTTATATTTTAACTAAAAAGACAGCTCCTAAGATAAAGTCATATGTATATAAAGCAATGTTACCTCCAGAATCAAGAGAATCCCCGGATCTGACCTTAACAGTAGTAATATCACTGTCAGAGCTGTCTTGATCATCCTGTTCAGTTTCTCCTAAAAAGAAGTAAATAATATACTAGTATAGTCTTTATTCTAATGCTCTAAAGATCTAGAAAAATAAGTAATTCAACATTAAAATGAAGCTTCTCTAATTATCAGATACAGAATTGCTATTTATTATGCTTACTATTCTGGATCACAAATTTTCCTATAAGCTAAAATCGAGCACATTAATGTTCTCTGAGGTACATAATTATATCTCAAACAAATATTCAGAGTAGTATCTACAAGATTATATTCTGAAGCTTTACTTTAGAGTCAGAGAGTAAGCAAATGAGCATTAAATAGTGGAAAAATTCTATCTTATGGGAGGAACTACATATAGTCAGTGTGCAAATTCAGACAAGATTAGTATATGCACACACATGTGTTTACATATGTCCACCTGTGTTTCTGAAAGGGGGATGTACACATACACCCATAACAAACATTTCAGTATGCAGTTAACCTTAGATTATGGCGGGTTCTAAAATGGATTAAATTTTACTGTACTATTCACAGACTGATTTTGAAAAAATGATTATTTTAATACCATAGTCATAGGCCAGCATATGCCAGAACCTTTTTTTATTAACTTTGCTTAATATTATTAACTCGGACAAAAGATGCTTAAAATGCATATAAAGACTATCATTGCTCACGCTATCCTATTTTACCGGCCCATCAGATAAGCATGGATTTTTTTCTTTTTTTGTGAAGAAAAATACACTATTTTCTGCTCTCAAATACCTGTCAAACTTGCACCTCATGTTAATGGGGAAAAAAAGATTTAGAATATTTTAAAAGAAAATACCTCCTTCAGAAAAATTGACCTTCTGTTGGACACCGGTGGCTTCTAGAAAAGAAAAGCATACATGTCAAACATAGTATCAGAAGCTAAAGCTCAGGAATAAACAAAAGCATATAATTTAGGAAAGTGAACATAAAGATGGACCAACTAAGCTTTTTTCCTATTAAATCTTAAAAATACACATATTATATCCCTCTAGGTTATTTCAGAAATAAGTCTAATACAAACTAGAATCAGGAAGAGTTTATTTTTCTTTCAGCCGCAGGTCCGTTTGTACTCTAAAATGTACCCTGTTTGCAGAAAACATTAAATTCTCTGTTGACAAATATTCCAGTCCCTATAAAGGTTAACTGTATTCTCATTCCCCTATTTGCCAGATTCCCTACACTCTCTTAAGAAACCCACCATCCTGGCAGAACTGATGAACCAGTTCTTTATTGCACTGATACATCCAAAAAGGAAGAAAGAAAGAGGGAAAGAAACTCTGTCTAGCTCCAGCAAGTTCATGAACACCACTATTTCTCAGAGCCAGAGAATTTGGACAAAGATAAATGAGAAAATGTATCAAACAAATTTTAAATGTAGGGCTATTTTGAAAGATTTTTATTAAAGGGAGATAAACCCAAATGTGGCATTGCATAATTGGGCTAAAACATTGCTGAGTGATCATTTGAGAAGTAGCATGAAATAGACTGCTCACAAAGCTGAAATCTGTTTCTTTTTAGCTCTTCCTTCTAATGATTTTAATCCCTATTTGCTTTTCAAAAAGGGAAAACCACTGTGGAAGGCGAGGGCCAACACATTATATGGTGAATTTGGGAATCTTTTCTTCAGATCAGTTTAATTATATTAATATAACACTGGTCAAACTACTCCTACTATAATAGTGGCAAGTGTAAATCAACATGTGAAATATATTTGCCAGTATTTTTGGTATAAGAAAAAAACTAACCGTTAACTACACATACTCTGTACTCTTAAAAAGCGAGAATCTGGTATATTATATTGCGTTTTAATTTAGGATCTTTAGGGAGACTGCCTTTTCAATTTTCTTTTTCCAAGCAGAAAAATGGAAAGTCAAACTTGCCTTAGTGCTATTCTCTTAAAATTTTTTCATAAATATTTCCATTCATACAAAAAGATATCATTCCCCTTTTGGAGTTTTCTAAGCACGTAACTATTATTGTACTTGTCTTTTGTACAGCAGTTTACATTCTTTATTCATATAACTAATCCCATAGCACGCAAACAAAAGATGTTTTCTTAAGAATCAATGGTTACAGGGTCCCTGGGTGGCTCAGATGGTTAAATGTCTGCCTTCAGCTCAGGTCATGATCCCAGGGTCCTGGGATCGAGCCCCACATGGGGTTCCTGACTCAGCCGGGAGCCTGCTTCTCCTCTGCCTCTCCCCCTGCTCATGCTCTATCTGTGTGTCTCAAATGAATAAATAAAATCTTTAAAAAAAAGAAGAATCAATGGTTACGCCTTAAGTTGTTATCTTAGTAAGTTAAGCCCTTGATATTTGCATGCTGCTAGTTTTCAGAAAAAACCATGTCTGCAATCTGATTCCCATAACGTCATAAGGGAATACTCTCCTAGATAAGGCTTGTTGATATTAAGTGACTTTTCTAAGGGTGTCTGAACAAATAAAAAAAGGACCTGAACACAAGCCCTTCTGATTTCTAGTCTACTACCCATCTACCACTGCATCAATCTCATTTATAATGGCATAATTACTTTTTTAATTAATTCTTTTTAAAGAGCAGTTTAAATTCACAGCAAAATTGAGGGGAAGGCAGATAGATTTCCTATATGGTCCCTATCAGTCTATATGCATAGACTCCTCCATTATCAACATCCCCCACCAGTGTTGTTTGTTGAAAAGTGGTGTCATTGATGGATCTATATTTACACATCAATCACCCAAAGACCCTAATTTACATTACAATTCACTCTTGGTGCTGCACATTCTGTGGGTTTAGACAAATGTATAGTGACATGTACCCATCATTATGGTATCATACAATTTTTATGCCCTAAAAAATCCTCTGTGCTCTATCCTATTCATCCTTCCCCTACCACCACCACCACCGCCACCACCAAATCCTTGATGACCACTAATCTTTTTACTCTCTCAATAGGTTTGCCTTTTCCAGAATGTCATATAGGTTCCTGCATGTCTTTTCATGGCTTGATAGCTCATTTCTTTTTAGCACTGAATACTCCCTTGTCTGGATGTGCCAGTTTATTTATCCATTCACTTACTGAAAGACATGTTGGTTGCTTCCAAGCTTTGGCAATTATGAATAAAGCTGCTATTAATGTGTGTGCAGGTTTTTTTGTATGGCTCATTTTTCCATCAGGTTGTTTTCTTATTGTTGAGTTCTAAGAGTTCTTTGTATATTTTGGATAACTGTCCTTTATGAGATGTGTCATTTGCAAGTATTTGCCCTCAGTCTGTGGCTTGTGTTACTCTCTTGTCATTGTCTTTTGCAAAGCAGAAGTTTTTAACTTCAGTGAAGTTCAGCTTACCAATTCTTCCATGGGTTGTGTTTTTGGTTTATATCTGAAGAGTCATTACCACATCCAAAGTCCTCTAGGTTTTCTCTTGGTATCTTCCAGTTGTTTTCTAGTTTTTTAAAATTTATATTTAAGTGTGTGATACATTTTAATTCTTGCAAAGAGTTTAAGGTCTGTGTCTGCATTCATTTTTTTACATGTAGATCCAGTTGTTCCAGCACTCTTTAATAAAGACTCTCTTTGCCTCTATTGTATTGCCTTCACTCTGTCAAAGATCAGTTGACTACACGTGGTCTATTTATGGGTTTTCTATTCTATTCTATTGATCTATTTGTCTACTGTTTACCAACACCACACTGTCTCGATTACTGGAGGTTGAGCCCTCCTACTTTGTTCTTCAATACTGTCTTGGCTATTCTGGATCTTTCAACTCTCTATATAAACTTATTCATTTTTTTAATATCCGCAAAATAAGTTGTTGGAATTTTCACTGGGAATGCACTGAATCTATAGATTAAGTTGAAAAGAACTGACACCTTGACAACACTGAGTCATCCTATCCATGAATGTGGAATCTCCCTCTTTTTAAGTAAATTCTTTGATTTTATTAATTTTGTAGTTTTTCTCAGATTTTGTACATAACTTTGTAGATTTATACCTCAGTATTTCATTTGGGGAAGGAATGCTATTGTATTGTTTTTTATTTCAAATTTCTCTTGTTCATTGCTGGTATGTACAATAGTGATTAGCTTTGGTATATTAAACTTGCATCCCGTAACCTTGCTATAATTGCTTATTAGTTCCTATTTTTTGTCCATTCTTTTAGATTTCTACATTGATGATCATGTTACCAGTGAACAAAGACAGTTTCATTTTTTCTTCCCAACCTGTATACCTTTTGTCTCCTTTTATCTTATGGCATTAGCTAGAACTTCCGGCACAATGTTGATAAGGAATAGTAAGCAGGGCCATCTCTGCCTAAATACGCATTCAGGTTCCTTTGTCTTTTCATAGCTTGATAGTTATTTCTTTTTAGCACTAATACTAATACAAAAGCTCCCAGTTTCTCACCATTATGAGGTTAGCTGTAAGATTTTTTGTAGTCTTATAAAGTTGAGAAAGATCCCCTCTATTCCTAGTTTACTGATAGAGTTTTTATCATGAATGGGTGTTGGATTCTGTCACATGCTTTTTCTGCATCTATCAACATGATCATGTGACTTTTCTTTTTTAGTTTGTTGATGTGATAGATTTTCAAATGTTGAACCAGCCTTGTGTACCTGGGACAAATCCTACTTGGTTGTAGTGTGCCTTTCTTTTTTTAAGATTTAAAAAAAAATTTTAAGTAATCTTTACACCCAATGTGGAGCTCGGATTCACAATCCCTAGATCAAGAATCCCATGCTCTACTGACTGTGCCAGCCAGGTGCCCCTAATTCGTTTTGTAGTTTGGATTCATTTTGCTAGTATTTTGTGGAAGACTGTCGCATTTATGTTCATGAGATATTGATCTGTAGTTTTTCTTGTATTTGTCTGGTTTCGGTATTAGGGGAATGCTGGCCTCACAGAATGAGTTGGGAAGTATTTCCTCTGCTTCTATCTATAGTAATTTGTGTCATTTTTTTCTTAGTTTCTCTTTTTTCTTTTTTCCTTGGTTAGCCTGGGTAAAGGCTTTACCTTTGAAAGATAATTTTGCAAGGTACAGAATTCTAGCTTGGTCATTTTTTTTTTTAATCTCAACACTTAAAATCATTCACTCCACTCTTTTTTGCTTGTATGGTTTCTGAAGAAAAGTTGGATGTAATTCTTATCTTTGTTCCTTTATAGGTCAGATGTTTTCTTCCTCTAGCTTCCTTCAGGTTTTATCTTTGATTTTCTGTAGTTTGAAAATGATAAAACACCCACGTATATTTTTTTGGCATTTATTCTGCTTGGTGTTCTCTGAGCTTCCTGAATCTGTGATTTGGTGTCTGACATTAACTTGGGGAAATTCTTAATTATTGTTTCAAGTATTTCTTCTGTTCCTTTTTTCTTCTTTTGGCACTCCGATTATGTGCGTTACACATTTTATAGCTGTATAGTCCTTGGATGTTGTTTTTTTCAGTCCTTGTTTCTTCTTCCTTTTGGTTGAGAATTCTAGTTTTTAAAATTAAGGTATAGGGGCGCCTGGGTGGCTCAGTCGTTAAGTGTCTGCCTTCGGCTCAGTTCACGATCTCCGGGTCCTGGGATCGAGCCCCGCATCGGGCTCCCTGCTCTGCCGGAAGCCTGCTTCTCCCTCCCCCACTCCCCCTGCTTGTGTTCCCGCTCTCGCTGTCTCTCTCTGTCAAATAAATAAATTAAAAAAAAAATTAAAAAAATAAAATTAAGGTATAACTGACACATAACATTGTGTAAGTTTGTATACAACATGCTGACTTGATACATTTATATATTGCATTACCACCACCACAGCGTTAGTTAACACCTCTATCACATCACATTATCATTTGAGAATTCTATTGATATGCCCTCTAGCACAGAAATTT